GCAGATGTGGTGGAAACAGCAAGAGAACCAGCATTAGAAGTGGAGTCTGAAGATGTGACTGAATTGCTTCAAGCTCGTGACAGAATTTTCACAGGTGAAGAGTTTCTTCTTATGGATGAGCAAAGAGAGTGGTTTCTTGAGATGGAATCTACTCCTGGGGAAGATGCTGTAAAGATTGTTGAAATAACAAAAGGTCTAGAATATTAAACTTAGTTAATGAGGGCAGGGTTTGAGAGGATTGACTCTAATTTTGAAAGAAATTCTACTGTGGGTAAAATGTTACCAAACAGCATCACATGCTACAGAGAAATGGTTCATGAAAGGAAGAGTTCATCCATGTGGGAAAATTCATTTTGTTCTATTTTAAGAAAATGCCACAGCCATCCCAACCTTCAGCGATCACCATCAACATGGAGGTCAGAACCCCACCAACAAAAAGATTATGACTCACTAAAAGCTCAGATGATGGTTAGCATTTTTTAGCAATATGGTATTTTTAAAGTATAAAGATTGTTTTGTTAGACATAATGTTATTGCACACTTAATGGACTACAGTGTAAATGTAAATTCTATAAGCATTAGGATACCAAAAAGTTCATGTGACTTACTTGGTTGTTATATTTGCTTTATTGAAGTTGCCTGGAAACAAACCCCCAGTATCTTTGAGACATGCCTACAGTAAAATCTAAGGAAACTGCCTCAGAATAAGAACTGGCTCACCCATGGTAGGTATGGCAATAAGACAGGGATTGCCAAACACGCAGATAAATTCAGCTGAAATTTTTAATGAAGTGCTACAGGATGAAACACTAGCATGAGAACACAGAACCTCTGTGGATTACAGGTATAAGGGAAACTCATACCCACCTGCAGACTCCTCCTGGTGCTTTAAAAAAAAAAAGGGGGGGGGGCAGATTGAGGTTCAGGCAGGTGACCAGAGAAAGCCTTACCCTCAGTGGTGCAGGCCCAAAGGAGGGAGCTGCTGCTGCTGCAAAAAAGGCATAAAACCCCAAGCAAGCCTTTCTGCCTTATGTTATTCCTTAAAGAATAACACTGCTGTGAGAAGGGCAGCAAATCTTTTATCCTCAAAGCACAGTGAAAATCCTTTCAACCAAGGAGAGGGACAGGAAGCAATCAAGGATCCATGCCATGAAAGGTCTACTGTTAACTGGAGGAGCAGGATCACTGATGAAGAACCATCTAAGAAGCCCCTGTCCTTTAAGCAAGGACACAAGGCCTAAGATGAAGGCTGGACCAGGACAATGCAACTCACTCTGTCTCCTCCTCTCACCCCAAGACTAGCAAGTACTGAGAACAAGCAAGAGTAGTCCATTAATAGGGGAGAAGCAACAGCATGGAGAGAAACGCTAAGGCACACTAGGAAGACCAAAAGCTTAGGGTGAAGCAGGAACATCAAAAAAAAAAAAAAAACCCTCCAGAAAAATCAGCCTGCAACTTATGTAGAGGCAATACTGAATTTGGAAACAGAAATTTGAAGCCAGTGGTGCATTGAAGGTAACCATGGCAACAACAAAACCCAAGCTCAGATCTACCCTAGACTAGACTGATTCAACCTCCCACATTAAGAGGTATGCCCATTTCTAGGCCCAGCACTATTTACCTCTGTCTCTACTAGCTTACACACAGTTTAACATTCCATAAAAAGTTACCACACAAAAAAACAGAAAAGTGTCAAGAGACACTGTCAAGAGAGACAAAGTGATCAACAGAATGACACAGAAATGACCAAGATGTTGAAATGATCAGATAGAGAACTTAAAATAACTATGATTATTACATTAAAAGGTCTAGTGGAAAAGGTGGACTACATACATAAAGGAAAATGCTAGAAATAAAAGTCACAGTAACAGAAATAAGGAATGCCTTTGATGGTATCAGTAGACATCAGGACACTGGTTAGGAAAGATCAGTAAACCTGAAGACAGTATTTGGCTAATCTCTATTGACCTAAGAGGAAAAAGTGGAGAGAGGGAGAGGAATGGGACAGAAAAAAGAAGAAACAGAACTAAGCACCCAGTGGCTGTGGGATGATGTCAGCCTAACAAATGTGTATTAAGCTACAGAAGAATTTGTATGATGTGGTAGCTTCTCAATACAGCAAAAACAAGTAAAAAAGCAAAAAAAAAAAAAAAAAGACAAAAGTAGTATCTGCTACCATACACCCATGTAATTTGCCCTCAAGAATGCCATGTTGTTACCCATTTCCATAACTCTGCAGGCCAGTCCTCCTGACCTTGCCCCTCTGAACTCACTGCTCAGTACTATAATTGCATCCACCTGGCTTCTGTTTAGGTGCCACCTCCAGGCCTCTAATGTTTCAAGGTCCTATGACACACTGCATATCCTACTGCCATCGGTGAACCCAATGTCATTTCCTAATGGCAGCCCTAGACTTCAGAGGATAATCTTCAATAAGGTTCTCGATGATCGTGGGTGCCTTTTCTACCAGTCATTTCTTCCCGCTTTGGTAAATGACGTATCCTCTAAGGCCTTCCAGGCACAAAATCATCCAGTATGATCTTATGTACTATGTCCAATCTAGCAAGCTGCTTATTTAAAACCTTCTACTCTCTGCAGTGGCATTTCTGGCTTTTAGTGGGCCACTGCTTTGTCTATGCTGCTAGGAACTATCCAAGTAAAAACAATTCATACCATCAAAAAAGTCAGATGAATGGTCAGAAGCTGAAGACAGTCGCTGAAGAAGTCATGACACCTGGTCCAGTTTTTGGAACTGAGTCAATTTTGGACTGAAAACTATTAAAGGAGAGACCAGATTCTGGAAGGAGATTTTGCAACACCAAACCAAATGTACACAGCAATGAATTTCCTAGACTATTCCCAAAGGTACTAATGACAATTTACTCAAGTAACTACACTGGGGAAAGGGGAATATCCGAACATCCAGGAATTGTTAGGTATAAGGTTCAAGTTGACACTGATGCCAAGAGACCCAAAGTGTCACCTGGCTCCTCACTTAGAAAGGGGACATACAGGAGGGTGAGATAATAAATGAAACCTTGGCCCAGGTCTGGCTCACAGTGCATGCACTGGGTCCATAATCACATCCAGTAGTCACCCCCGCCCCAGTCCATGAATACATAATTGGAAGAGACACACTTAGTTGTTAGCAAAGTTTCATATGGCTTCCTTGGTCTATAGGGTAAGGGCCAAATGAAAGGGCTAAAATTGCCCTCCCCCACCCCATGGCCAAGATAAATCAAAACTAATATTCCACATGGGTTGGAATGGCAGAAATCAGTGCCATCTTTAAAAACCTCAGAATGCAGGGGCACCTGGGTGGCTCAGTCGGGTAAAATATCTGACTCTTGATCTCAGCTCAGGCCTTAATCTCAGGGTCGTGAGTTCAAGCCCCACACTGGGCTCCTCAATGGGCATGGAGCCTACTTTAAAAACAAACAGAAAACCTCAGAATGTAGAGCTGATGGTCCCTATCATATTTCCATTTAATTCACCAGTCTAACACTACAAAAACCAGATAGAATGTAGAGGATGACAGTGGACTTTCATGAATTCAAATAGCCCCAATGACAGCCACTCTGCAAAACATGCTTTCTTTGCCAGAGCAAGTTAATACTACCTAAGGACACGGGACACAGCAACTAATCTGACATATGTATTCTTGTCTTTCCCGATTAGGAAAAAAGATCAAAACCGGTTTTTAATCTCATAGACAAAGTATACATTTACAGTTCTGCCTCAGAGCCATTTGGCCATCCTGCAGACCATCACACTGGTCTACTTTACCAATGACATCATGTTAATAGAACCAGATGAGTAAGAAGAAACTGGAATGTTGAAAGCCTTGGTAAGACATAATGCTCCAGGAAGTAGAAAATAAATCTTAGGATGAATTCAGGGACTATGCCATGTTAGTAACTTTTTAAAGGTTCAGTGGTCTGGGTAATGCCAGGACATTGTCTCCAAAGTAAAGAACAAATTATTCCATCTTGCACTTCCCAAACCAGAGAAGGAAGCACAATGCCTGACTGCCTTCTTCAGGTTCTGGGGCAGCAGAATCCACAACTAAGGGTAATGCTCTGATCCATATGCCAGGAGAGGAGAAAGGGTGCCTGAACACTCAGCTCCTGTATCAAAGGAGAGGCAAGAAGAGTCACCATTTTAGCAGAGGTAACTGAACTTGAACATCAGAAGGACTATACACAATGGGGAAATGGAGTATATCTGGCATGCAAATGATACACTTAGGTGTCTCTCAGTATTCCCTGATCCAGTTTTGACAATAAACGAACAAGTGTGGAAACCCCAAGCTTAGGAAGGGCAGGGCCTTCTCAGATCTCCAGTAATGAGGGCCTGAGTCACAGCGCTGGGTAAACCATGAAGACGAGATGTGCTAGCCAAGGGGAGGGTGTATCTAGAATGGACAGCAGAGGAGGGAGAAGAGGATTCAGTGGCGGCCCAAAGGTCAATTACAGCAGCAGGGGCTAGAGTCTGCCCCACTGTCCTTCCTCCTGTAAGTTTTTCCTAGGGGCAGAGGCCCAATGAAACCCAGAAGGGGCTGCGCCCAGAAGCCTATAAAGAAGCGAATGTGAGCAGAATAAAGGGTGGGCTGTGGTCGAAGCTGTGCTGCACAGTCCAGCCCCGCCCTGAGGAATAAAGGACTTAGTACCCTAGATGCTGGGAGTGCCCAGGAGGCAGCCACTGCCTTTAGTCACTCCAGGGATCACCTCAGCTGAAAAGGGCTGCTTCACACAAGTTCACGTCCCTTCCCAGGGCAGCCTGTACCCACTGACTGACCATTATCAGGGTTGAGATCTCTCACCTCAAACTGGGACAGCTCTGAAGGGTCACCTCTCCTGCAGAGCTCCCCCGCAGTTGGCTGAGGTACCCCCTCGAGAGTGCATCACAGCTCAACTTCAGCCTCTGCCCACTCCTGCTAGCCTCCCACCCTCCCACAAGTGTGATCCTAAAGCACTCCAATTAATCTGTTGCACACTCACCTCCAGCTCAGCTGGCTTCCTGGGAAGCTCAAACTGTGAGAAATGGCAATGTTTATGCCTATATTTCAGGGTTGTCATTCTCTATTAAATGAAAAAATACATATCAGGTCATTTGTGCAGTGCCTGATACAGAGTAGGCATTTAATACATAAGCATGAGATGGTAACTTAGGGAACAAGATAGATAAGCTTATATAAACCTCGGGATTATATGCAACTTCTATATGCCAGGTGACAAATACACAATTTCTGAGGCACACAACATAGGAAGCATTCATTTTAAGTATATTCTCAGTTCTGCTAGAAAACAGTAAGTCAACACAAAGGTCAGTACCACAATCCAATTATTTACTCTATCGATTGTATCCTTATTCTATAATGATCATAAAAGATGTAAAAACTTAGAAGAACAAATGCTAAGCACATCTAAAAACTCTGGTATGTTAATTTTTATTAACTAACACTAGGGGTCACTAATTACCAAGAAAAGCCCAAATGTCCTTCACAAAATTTGGGGAGGATTTTATATATTCCAAAGGACAAGAACGTAAAGTGCTTTAGTAACAAACCAAATCCCTTTTCAACTCATTCTAGTTATTAAATCACAGACTCTCACTACCACATTTTAAATTATTTTCATGGTAAAGGATCACATCAGAACAAGATAATTGGATTCCTTTCATAAGCACAATTAGAAAATTAAACTTTCTGCAAAATTCAATCATGCTTAAATATTAAGCACATAAATTTTTAAAGTTTACTGTGTGAGGCACCCATTTAGCTTCAGCTAAATTTTCTAATGCAAGAGATAATATGATATATATGCTAATGCTCGAATCAAACTAAGGTCCAATTTAGCATAGTCTCATGTTTGAAGTTCAAGAATCCAGCAGAAATGGACAAATATAGGAAGAACCAAGTACAGAAAACTGAGCTGATCTGATGTAGGTATTTAGATATGGGCAGAAAGATGTGTGCTGTGCTTGTCAAAAATACAAAAACTGAAATGTGTTAATTCCTTGAAAGCAAGATTAATGCAATCTAGCAGTAAGACATGCACAACAAAACTACCAAGTAGAAGATGAAAGAAAGTGATGTAATATGCCTAGGAAATCTGGAAAAGCATAGCTTTCTTCCAGCTGCAGCAAGTCAGGAAAGAATTTATGGAGACAGCATCTGAGCTGCACTCTCAAGAATGCCATCTCATCCCCATGGTCCAGGTCTACCCAGAGAACTTGCTTACACAGGAGAAAAACGAGTAGTGCAGGGCTATGAAGGTAAAGAGCAAGTAGTTCATGTGCGGATCAGGCAAATTAAACTATCTGCAGCTCATTTTTGAAATCCCATAAAGTATAGCAATTTACCCACTACCTTTATTCTTTACTGTAAAAGGTACATGTTTCTCAACTTTAGCAAGATTCTATATCTGGTTCACAAGTATCAGCATATGAGCAGATAGGCTGTAATGGTGTAAAATGCACTAAATCAAACATGCTTATTAAGCACATACTTACAAGGTTCATTCATGGTAATTTACACAATTAGTTAAATCTCAGAATAAAAAGTGTGAAACAATATAATAAATTTGTTGACTTGAGATAAATGCACATAAATCTTAGTATAGGATTTTTAAATAATCTTTAGGGATATTAAACTATGGTCAGTAATCAAATAAACCCTCTATCATACATAGTTCATTTCCAGATCAAATCACTGGAAAAAAAATCAGGAAAAGGGGTTAAAGCAATTTTTGTCTAGGGTGGTGTGAAGAGATAGAGAACTGTCATCCTGAAAAAGGAGTGTAAAACTGACCAAAACTAATCATTTCATGGTGCTGGATGTTCAGTAAAGACAAACAACAAATTGAGAGACATATTCAATGGAACTAGAATATCAGGCGAGCTCATCAGGCATCTTTAGCCTTGAAGCAGCAGGCTATTCCCATCCCTCACCCACCCCCAATTCCTAATACCATCACATGGGGGGGATAGGATGTCAACATATGAATATTAGGGGGACACATTCAGTCTGTAACAGAAACCATGCTAAAACATTAAAACAATTTTTAGAAAAAGAGGAGAGCTATCAGCAGGCCTGGCATATTCCAGATTTCACAGATGAAGACCAGACAAATTAATAAAAAAAGAAAAAAACTAAAGTGGACAAGTCAGAATTGAGTTGCTAAATGCATTATAAAAAATGTCCAGTTTTAAATAAAAACTTGTCAGACATGCAAAGAAACAAGACACCCATAATGAGAAAACTGCAGATAACAGAAACGGACAGTGGTCCTATATACCTGTAGCAGATAAAGAGTGCAAAACTGCTATTACAAGTATGCTTAAAAAGTTTAATATCCAGAGGAATTAAGATTTTACACTACAGAATATTTGTGTAACACAAAGGGCGGCAGTAAAGGAGGAACAAAACAAAAAATCTGAGACATATATAAAACAAAATCGGGGCGCCTGGGTGGCTCAGTTGGTTAAGCGACTGCCTTCGGCTCAGGTCATGATCCTGGAGTCCCAGGATCGAGTCCCGCATCGGGCTCCCTGCTC